ATCTGTTTAGTGAGTAATCACCAAACAGAAATTTAACTACGTAACTATAACAATGCCTGAATCAAAGGTAAGATTTTAATCTTGCTTAGTACTGAGATTTTGTGCACGCTGCTACTAGAACATATTAGTTTGATTCTGAATTCTGATCATAATATATTCGTTAAATGATCAGATGAGGATCAGATTAATGTTCGAAGGATGTAGTGAAATTTCATAGCATTGTAGTGAAAAGATCTCATGGTTCAAAACCTGTTTGTTGAATGTAGTGAATTTTCATAGCATAATACAGATGTACTAACATTTTTTAAAAATATAGAAAAGAAAAAAATCAACAACAGAAATTGGAGATGATTATGAAGCAAAACTATTGATCGATCTTGTTCAGAGTGGTATTAATGCGAATATTACTAAGACAAGAATCAGAAAAAATGGAAAAACATTATTTGTAGGAGATGGAGGAATTGATTTATTTGGAAAATATATGAACATGCATTATATAATTCAAGCTAAATTTAGAACAGATAAAGAATCATGTGTTCCTCCTAGTGAAGTGAATAACTTTATATTAGTTTTGATGCAACAACCAGAGAATATAGTAGGGTTCTTTGTATCTAATGCAAGATTTTCAACAAGATCTCAGAATCTTGCGAATAATCCAAAAGTAAATTTAATATTATGTAATGATAATAATTTGGTTGAGAAGATCAAAGAAACGCAGAGATTACATTCAGATTCTGATTCTAATACTATCTGTATTAAAGATATAACAACTGATAAAAATACGAAAACAGAAATATTTGGTATAAAATTTGAAGGAAAGATTAGGATAGGAAAGCTTAGAAGGATTAGAAATTCTCCATATTGATATTGTATTTTTTTGTATTTATTCAGTGTATTACACTGAATGAATTTTTATCTAGATAATCAAAAAAAAAAATGTTTAAAAGAAAGACTACAAAATATCTTGATGAACTTGAATCTTCTGTAAAAAAGTTATGTGAGATCGTACGTGATGAAAAAGAATATGTGTTTGATAAAGGAAATATGACTGAAGCAGAAAGAATTATAATTGAAGAAGAAATCGATGATACTTTTCAGATTGTTAGACATGAATTTCAACCAGATTTTGATAAAAGAATTGAACAAGAATCTTTTAAACGTTTAAAAAGAAGTTATCCATTTAATTTTTGCAAGACATTTAAAAGACAAAAAGTTGATCCAAAAGTTATTGTGTTG